GAAGTCTTTTTTTTTTTAAATTAAATGAGCCAGCTTGTTCCAAGAAATAAATAAATAAATAAATAAAAGTTCGAGCGGTATTGCTTGCCATTATTATTTATTAGTGCATCACGCTTTGTAGCTAATACCAGCTTGTGCGTCACAAGCTTATTATTTAATATTTTAATGAGAGTATGCTGCTTTACTATAAGAGGCAGAGAAATTTCCACATATTATTTTTTATTTTTTATTTTTTATTTATTAATAATTATTAGTTTTTTTCCCAAAAAAAATAATTATTAGTTTTATTTAGGGATATAAGTGTTGGGGCTAGGATGAGCTAATAAGTCAAATTTAAATGACTGAACTCGGTAACTCATAAGTCGGCTCAATTGAAAAATATTTAGAAAAAATTCTGAAAATATATTAGCAAGGATTTTATTTATTAAATTATTAAAACATTTAAAATTACATCACATTTTCTTATATTAATGAATTTTTTATTATTCTTTTTAATTTTCATTCTATTTCTATTTTGTTATGATTATTGATTGAAAATGAACCGGCTCATAAATCATTAAATCATGAAGTCCCTCTATTTTTAGTTATTAAATTATAATTTAATTAAATATTCTATTAATTAACAAAATTAATTTAAAAATTAATAAATCACTAAAAAGTTATTATATTAGTTCAATAATGTTAATTTAAAAACAATTAATGATCCATAATAATGGAGAGTCTAATAATGTTAATTATTCTAATATATTTATCAAATATTTGGAATAAATAGTTGAGAGATGATTATGCATATCATACATAATATAAGATGTGCTTCTTTTCCTTTTTCAGGAGGAAAAAAAGATTGAAGGTTCGCTGCCATCACCAGGAGGATGACATAGCTTCTGAAACTCCGCCCACCAGGGTTAGTAGAAGGGATTTCTGTAAGGGCTTCTCTGCCTTGCTATGAGGGTAAAGGAAGAGACACTTAATTTAGTGCAATACCTGGAGTGGAGAACTCCGATGAGTAGACGTAGGTCAAGATTGACCGAACCACTACAAAAATTTATTGTGTGCTTTTTCCTTTTCGCATTTACTTTTAAGTGATTTATTTTTTAATTATCTACAAGTTGAATTTACCACACTAATTTTATTATTTATAATCAACTGCAATTAGAATATGTTGTGGCTTTCAAAAAGAATAACTTGGATGTTTTGAAAAAAAAAATATAAATAATATGTGTAAACTTATCTCTAATGGTATATTTAGTGCTATCGTTTATAATAAAGTATTGTCTCTGCTCTCTTAATTTATGTATTAGAAAATCATTTTTGACTTAAAAGCCAAATAGACATTAATTTTGTGCGTGTGTCGCGTGATTTAGATTAATTTTATTATGTTGTTAATCAATGTATGCAAATCCGCACACTCACACACCTCGCACAACCCTCCCCTCTCAATCCAATCTAGTGCGTTCGGTACCACTCGGGTGTTTCTTGATGGTCTATAACATCCTCGAACTTTCAGTTGTGCCACTCTAAAATTTATTATTTAATTCTATATTAAGTCAAATATGTGAAATAAATTTATTTAAAAAATATAAATTTTTTTAAAGTAGAGTATTTTGGTGTTGATCTGATGAGCACTGTGGCGCTAGGCCATAAACTTTATATATATCCTACCTTACCCCATTGACTCCCTCACTTGGTTGCTTGACCAAGAAGAAATTGAAAGAGTGAAAGAAGATAGAGGAGAGAGAAATATTTTTAGATCATACTAAGTCATTCTTGTTACAAATTTTGTATATTTATTATAAGTAATTAATCTTTTACTTTTATTTTCAATTATTTTAGTTTCTATGAATTTTATCTCCCTTAATTTTGTCAAAAATATATTGTCTCTTGATGCTCTAAATGATTTGATATGATTTATTACATTTTAAATGAAATTTAAAATGATATCAGCTATATGATATGATAACTCCATGTGATATCCTACAAATCCACATGATTCACTTATTGGGAGTCATAAGGAGTTAAAGAATGACTGGGAGTTATAAGGAGTCGGGGCAATTGATTCATGTGATTTTAAGGGGAGTTATAAGAAATTGATTAATTGTAAGTTGTAGGGGAGATTAATTGAGAGTTATAAGCGTAGGAGTAAGATACTCTTAAGACACAGTACTCTTTCAATATCTAAATACTGATACTGACACTGTTATAAATACTGTACTGATATTATGATTGACACTAATATTGTTTACTATCATTTACAAAATTTAACCTTATTGATCATGATACTAATATTGTTACTAACATTATTACTGTTGACTATTATTGATATTGTGATTGATAATATAATGGATTGAGATGTGATGAACTATAGATCAATAAATTAATTATAATAGTTAGTATAGACATTGATACATATATTTTTTATATAATTTATAGTATATTGTTCTATTTTATCTTGTGTTGATTTCAATTGTAAGATTTTAATTACTTATTGGCTATATGCACATTTCGTGGTTTTACATATTTTCAAAAAAACATAAAGATCAAATGCTATAAGACTCTGAACAAGACAAAAATAAAAAATGCAACCATATTTCTTTTTTGTTGTTTATTGATAAGCTCTATTTAAATGATTACAATGAAAGATAGATATAATTTTTTCAATATAAATCATGGAGTGTGACAATTTCAACCATTATGCATGTTTATACAAGGATCAATTTATAAATCTAATGGCTATGAGACACCTTTTTGATAATTTGTTAAAGATTCTAAAATTATCATCATCATATGCAAGTAGAATATCTTAAAATATATATACAATGCATGATTTGAGTTAACACTTTATTAACCATAACAAAACCATTAAATTTAATTTGAACATCTCTATATAACTATGAATAAGTCATTTTTCAATTGAAGCCTTAGATATGTTTTAGTTGTCAAATTTTAATTCTACTCTAAATTTTTATTTTTTATCAAAATTCAAATGCATCAAAAAGGAAATAATAAAACTTTAAAAATGGCATTAATGAGAAGTCCAAATAAATGAACATATTATGATAGGGGATGAAAATATGTTCAAATTAATAGTTTCCATAAATATTAAATTTGCTAAAATCCTAAATTAAAACATTATACTTAACTTTTTTTAAATCTAGCTATAGTTTATTTTTAAATCCAAATAAAATGTAAGGAAAAAAAAAACATTTTGGAATTTGTATTTTAATAACATAACTAATTTTAGCTTTTTTTTTAGAAATAAAAATTATTATTTTTGTAAATACAAGTTGATTTTTTAAATAAAATTATATTTCTCACCCATCATTAATTTTAGTAGAATGTTAAAATGTAAATTGCATTTTTAAAAATAACTAGGAAAATTCTCTCTAAATGATAAATGCAATGCTTAAACAAATATTGTCAAATATTCATCCTCGTTTAAGCCATGATTTGAATTTATAAATTATAAAATAATTTTTAAAACACAATTAAATAAATATTAATAATGATAAAATTAAATTTAAATAGTGTTTCATAGTTTATAAAATATTATAAATTAAATCGATTTGTAATTAAAGTTTTAAAGTTTTAAGAATTTTACCCTAAGACAATATTCATAATATACAAATTATAGAATAATTATATAAATAGTCAACATATTGCAAAATTAAGAATATTAGCCATCCAAAATAATAGCATGATAAATTCAAGAACTTTTCTCTCATATGATAAATTTAAATATTCAAATAATAATATTATGATAAATTCCTATTATTAAATATTATTTTCAATTTAATATGCAATGTTAAAAATTGAATTATCAAACTCATTTTAAAATGAAGAATTTTTGGAATATTAACATAATACTTTGTTAATTTAAGATTAAAAAGAATGATTTCAATAGATATTATCTTTGTCATATAAAATTTGATAAATATAAAATTCTTTGGTAATTCACCACAATTTAGAATTTAAAAATAACAATGAGCATATAATGATAAAATTCTACTCTCTCATAAATTAAGAAATATTTCATTTGAATTGAAAGATTCACTTTAATTTTCAATGCATTATAATATTGTAAACATAGAATAAAAGTCAATAAAAAATCATTAATTAAAGTCAATGAATTAATTTACTTTAACATGATTAATAATCAAATAATAAATAAAATTAATTAGTAATTTTATAAAATTCAAAAAATGTTAATTTAAAGGAATGTTAAAACTCATTAACTATGAATTATAATTAGTTATTTATTTGATTAAAAAATCAAATTAAAACTAAAATGATAATATGTTAATCAATCTATAATCTTAATTACCTTACAATTCTTTAAATGAAGAACAACTAAACCTAAATTCATTAAATATTATTGACTTCAACAATCATAATTAATACTTAATCAATAATATTTAAGAAGATTAATAGCTATAACATGAGTGATTTAGTTGTTGTAAATTTTTCAAAAGGATCATAATTATTAATTAAGCATTAAGAGAGTCATTAAGATTAAATTTTAATTATCTTTATTAAATTTAATCTTAATGACATTCTTATTATTAATTAATCATTAATTATGATCCTCTTAAAAATTTCTCCCATTTCTGAGAAACTAATGAGAATAAAATACAAATCTTTCCTCTTTGCAGCCGTTCGTTGATTTTTGATTAATTAGGATTTTATAAATATAATAGGAAAACGAACGGCTGAGATTTTTTTTAAAATTTAAAATTAATACTTATTTATTTATTTTTTGTTTTCATTTAATTCCTATCGCTCTTCCTCAACGGTGCTCAATGGTGGGACACCTGGAACCCGTGACGAGCGGATTACCGGTAACTGTCTATAGCCGGTGACCCGGCCCCTTCTGCAAGCCGATAGGTTCCCATCATTTTTCCTCTTTTATAGATTTTACAGACGACCTTATTTTATTTCTTTTTCTTTCTATTTAGAATATTTTTTAATACCACCTTCACTGAGATTGGGCATCTTGCCAGCTACGAAGTTGAGGGATCAAAGCTTTCTTCGAAAGGGAAAGGGTTGAGTGTGGAAGGGGACAGTCAAAGCTGGCATTTTTTTCTCCCAATTTTGAAATTTTCGGGTCCTTTTGATCTTCCCCCTTATTAATTTCGCTGCAGAACACAGGGAAGGATAAATTTTTTGCAGAAGGATTGAGGGTTTTCTCTTCTTCTGCAATCTTCCTCCTTTATTGATATATATTTTCACAAGTTGAGGAAGAAGAAGTTGATGCTCGCAGAAGGATGGAACCTTCCCGTTCTCTTTTCCAGGAAAAGAAGCATTGGTGGATGATGAACAGGAAGGTCTGTTAGATCTCTCTCTCTCTCTCTCTCTCTTTCTCTCTCTCTCTCTCTGTCTTCTTTATTCTTCCCTCTTCTCTGAAAGATTAGTTTGGCATTGGGATCAAGGAATGCGTTTCAGTGTTTTAAATTAAGCACGGATCGTTTATTTTATATCACTGTTTTCAACGACCTGAACATTATTTCGTTCGCTGATATTTCATTGTGAAATCTAAGGATCAAAAACGCCATTTTTTGAAGTTTTATCTAAAGGTCAGAGCTTTCTTCTTTCCTTGGAAGAATCAAGGGGATGGAAGCCCGTGATTTCTTCTTTTTTTTGCGCTTACTTTTCGGCAACGTTTCCGTTCAGCATTAATGCTGTCATTTATTGCAACCATTTCTCTGTTTTCTTCTTCCAATCGCAATTTCAGATCAAAGCTGTCACCTTTTACTTACCAGCAACCTTCTTCCTCCCTGTCATCGCATGCTTTCTTTTCTCTGTTTTTTAGCTAATGATTTCCCTTCTTATAAACAACCAGATCGTTAACAAACACATTCGCGATGCGCGTTCTCTCATCGCAACGCAGGACCCAAACGCCGTTTCGGCGGCGATTGGAGTCCTCGACGGCGTTCTCGCCCTATCCCCGCGGCTTGAGGCGGCACTAGAGCTCAAAGCAAGGTCTCTTCTCTTCCTTCGCCGGTTCCGGGAGGTCGCCGATATGCTTCAGGAGTATATCCCGAGTTACAGAGTTTGCTCCGCCGCTACCGGCGACGAGTCGTCGAGCTCGCTCTCCTCCTCCGGTAGCGGGAGAGTTGTTTGGGAAAGCCGCGAGGGCGCTAAGTTGCTTCCTAAATGTGAGGATGGTGACGGTGGCTCTCGCTGCTTCTCTCTCCTAGATATAAAGCGGAAGGTCATCGCCGGAATCCACCGCGCCTGCGACCGTGAAGGGCAATGGAGGTAAATTTGCCCCTGCCTCCATTTTTTTAGTCGATTTACATTAATACCATAAAATTTTTATATTTACACATATAACTTCTAAAATTATGTATTTATTAAAAATTTTAAATATATCCCCCTACAACTTATGTCACAATATACATAAATTTTTTTATATTTACAATTAAATTAATGATTTTTTTCTTTGAAAAAAAATGTAAAAAATAATCTTAATATAATTTTCAGAGCATCCAAATTTATGTAACTATAAATTAAGTGAGGTTATTTTTATATTTTAATTTATTTATCTATTATTTTGATGTGATTTAAATTATTATTATTATATAAATAAATATAAAAGATTTACAGTAATTATATATATATAATATAATATAATATAATGGCATAATTTTTAAAATTTTTCTCTTATTTGTTGTAAATTGACTAATATAACCCTGATGTAATTTTTGTATTTATTATTCTGTTATAATTAATAAGTAAGTGAATGATATAATTAATTTTATAAATATGCACTACCGAACATGCCCATAAAGATACTTTTTATGCGGGCAATACCTAGAGTTGTATAATTTTTACTGACAAACTGGATGTTTGATTTATTTTTTAGGTAAAATATTTGTTCTTATTAAAAATAACCTATTTTATTTATATAAATTAGAAAATTGAGTATGAGATATTTATTTAATATTTACATAGTTTAAAATTATTTATTTTAAATCATATATTATATATTATATGATAATATATCAAATTTTAAAAATTATATATAAAATTAATAGAACAAATATTTCTAAAATATTTAATAAGCATTTAAGTAAAATAAGTTATAATATACTGATTTGATTCACATAGTAAATTATGTTATTGTTGATTAGGTTTTGAGGGAGAAAATTTATCTAGAATCCCTCCTCCTTTAATTTCTTTTTTTTTATAATTAGTTTATTAATTTATAATTTATTTTAAATTAATATATAAATAAGTTTTATGTTAATATTTATGTTAAATAAATATGATAATTTAATGCATTATAATTTTATATCAGAATATTTGGACACCCTCACCTCCCTTTCTTTTCAGTTTATTTTCATATATCTTTTAATATTATATATATAAATAAATATAAAATTTATGTTATCTATGTAAATTTCCAGATATCATATTTTGGGCCAAGCGTGCTGCCATCTGGGCCTTCTAGAAGACGCTATGATCCTCCTCCAAACCGGCCGCCGTCTAGCTTCCGCCTCCTCCCGCCGCCAAAGCACCTCGCACTCCGACGACACCTTCAGCTTCTCCCCCTTCCTGCCCCCATTCCCTTCCACCAACCCTAAAACCAATACCAATCTTATGACCTCCAAGTCTCCCTCTTACTTCTCCGAATCGGCTTCCACCCTTCTCCCCCACATCAAACTCCTCCTTCGCCGCCGCGCCGCCGCCACCTCTGCCCTCGACGCCGGTCACCCCAACGAAGCCGCCCGCCACTTCTCCAAAATCCTAGAAACCCGCCGCGGCACTCCCCACCCCTTCGCCACATCCTGCTTAATCGGCCGGGCCGCCGCTTATCGGGCCGCCGGCAGGGTCGCCGAATCCATCGCTGATTGTAACCGCGCTCTCGCCCTGGACCCGACCTCCATCCCAGCTCTCCTCACTCGCGCAGACCTTCTCGAATCCGTCCGTTGCCTCACCGACTGTCTCCGCGACCTCGATCATCTCAAACTACTCTACGACACCATTATCCGCGACAGGAAGCTCCCCGGCCCGGTCTGGCGGCCATTGAACGGCGAGATCCGTTACCGTGATGTACCGAGTAGTCTCCGAGCTCTTACGGCGAGGATAAACGGGATTCGGCAGAGGTTCGCCGCGGGGGAGGGGAATAATGTGGATTATTACAAACTGATTGGAGTGAGAAGAGGGTGTTCGCGGTCGGAGCTGGAGAGGGCAAATTTGGTTCTTTTATTGCGGCATAAGCCGGAAAAGGCCGGGGCTTTTGTCGATAAGCTTGATTTCTCCGACGAGGACTTGGATGTGGACGCGGTGAGAGATCAGGCGAGGATGTCGGCGTTGATTTTGTATAGGATGTTGCAGAAAGGATATTCCTGTATCATGGCGACGATTGTGGAAGATGAGGTTGTGGAGAAGAAGAGGGCGGTGGCGGCGCCGCCGGTGTATCAGGGGGTGTTTTGCCGGGACATGGCGGCGGTGGGGAGTATGCTGTCGCGTGGTATTTCGGTGAAGTACGAGGGATTGAGCTGTTGAAGGAGAAAATTTTGAATTTGGAGATCTTCGTTGTACAGTCTGGTCTTTGTGGAGGTGGTGGATTTATTGGGGGAAATTTTGTTCATGTTTGTTACTCTTCTTTCAAAGTCTTGAACTTTAATATTTTGGTATTCTTATATATAAATTTTTATGTCATTATTTTTCATTTATCAAAAAATTACTTTCTAGCAAAATAATTTTTATTTTCAAAAATTTTTTGTATTGAAAAATTGCTTTGAGAATCAATAAAATAATTGTCCCAAACGAAACATTAGTTTGCCTTTTCAAAGCTCTCTTGTCCTTCGATAGTGTATGAAGTCAAATACAAAACAAATAAAATATCTACATTAAATTGTAAAAAAATCACCAAATAGAGGAGTCAAATAAATTTGGTTGATAAATACTTGAATTTTCTAAAATATTTTCAAATAGAGATAGAGTACCAAGTCAATATGAAAAGATGACTATATTAAAGAAAATACATGATTAATTTAAAAGAGTGATAGAAATATTATTCATGAGAATATATATATATATATAATGTTTCATTAGAACACATAGAATTCCTCATATAAAGAGTCTACAAACTCTACCTCTCACATTTCACTCAAGCAATACCCATAATATAGTTCCTCCTAGTTTTCTTCTATCACAACTCACCTATATAGCTTAGAAATAAAGTGGTAATTAGGTTTTTTATTGATAATTACATCCCAACTTTACTTTATTGTATTAGTGCCACAAAAGAAAGAGAGGAAATCAGTTTTGGCCAAAATTTGTAGCTTCCTCCTTTGCTAGCTTTCATCTAAACCCATATGGAAGGAGAGTGGCTCCATATTCTTACCTTAGTAATAATAAATATCTTCCTTGATTGTCTCCACACTTTATTGAGATGGAAAATGTCAATTTGATAACATTAAGGATTATACTTCTCTCTATTTTTTAATGATGCCAGTTTTTCTCTTATATATAAATAATGAGGATGATTTATGGTATTCTTTTCATGTTTAAATCTTGATGATGAACTCCTTACATAATGATAACTCTTAGAAATGTTTGGCATATTCAAGTAAAAAAGGCATAATACTTTTAATAAAGTTATATCAATTTGAAATATGCCAAGATATGTGAGATTCTAGGTTTTGTTTTGCATAAAATATTTAAATATTATATTAGAATAGAAATATAAAGTGAATGACTCTTACACAGGCTGAAATTGACCAATATTGCGTATAATGATCAACTTCGATGTACTTCAGTTCACTCTTAAACAAGTAAAGCCAATGGTACGATTGAGATCAAGTAATTTCTTAAGTTTGTGGCTCTCTCACCCTCCATCATGATTGAGCAGAAGTTTAAGATAAGGTTACTCCTATAATGTCTTCATGTGGTTATGTGTGTCATTAAATCATTATACTTAATGATGACTTATTAGAAATCCCTTCTTGTAGTGGTTTGGAGAACAAGAATTATGTGCTTTAGATAATGAGTTTTGAGTGAGTTGAATGTCTGAAAATGATTTTAGAAGATGATATTAGGATATGAACTTATAATTTGCAATATATTGAACTATATTAATTCTTATTGATACATTTATCACACCTTTAATGCACCTTTTTTAAAAATTCGTTTCATAATTATATAGGAAACATTTGTTTTAACATCCAAATGATTATCAAAGAAGAGAGATATTTGATGTATAAAAGATTGTTACCAGGTTGAAAAGGATTGCCATATGAATTTATGGAGGGAGTTAAGATATTTATTTAAATTACATGTCAACTACTTTCATTTAAGTTCGATGAAATGTTTAAATGCCCATGCTCGAAATACAAAAATTAAGCTTTCCTTAAATTTGATGATGCAAATATTGATTTATATTGTGGGGGATTTGTTCCAGGATACTAGATTTAGACCTCACATAGCGAGTACGAGCCTTATAGAGATACTCATACAGGTCCATTAATAGCTTTTGAAATAGTTAATGAAGAAGATTAAATGAGTAGATCGTATAAAAAACATAATTTTTATACATCAAGTAATAATTTAAGGGCCAATATGAAAGAGCTATCATACCAAGAAATAAAAAAATTCTTTGAATTACTACATGCTGTCTAAAAACTAATTTGAGATGGTTGCCACCAACATCATAAATAGCTCCATCAACCTATTCTTACACTCCTTAACGTCACCCATATTATTACCCACCTCCTGTACAACCAGAATAGGGTGGACCATCAGCATAAGCAGAGGCTGCGGCTCAGGAGCCTGTAATAACAGAGGATAAGCATGTATACATAGTGTCCGAGGGCAATTATAAGTTCAATTTATTTTATAAACTTATTATAATTTGATCTTTTATGTTATTAATAAAAAAAATTATCTGTAACTTCAATCCCTCAAGATAGCCTACCCATAATATTCATGACATCATATTAAGAAAATATGATACTTCTTACTTACCATAAAAGAAAATCCCAAATGAAGTTATAAAGGATATATGATTCAAAAAATTTAGGTATATTTATTTGGCATTACTTAAAATTTCTAATTTTATTTGTATTAATATTATTTATTATACCTATATTTTACAGGAAAAATTTTTAGGTAACTGTCTGAGCATGAAATGAGGATCAGAATAAATTTTGAGATAAGAGGCTATACTCATCTTAGGAACATATTCACAAATATTAAAAAGTCTGGGCAGCATCCATTATGGATTGGTGATGGAGTATATGCTGATTTGAGTAGAATTGGGTGAGCCTTAAGTTCACTAAATTGAGAGAGCATAATAAGAAAAATAGAGCATCTAACTATAGGGCCTTAGGAAGCTCTGTTTAAACGGGCGGTTTAGTGCCTCATACTAAGTATAGACAACGACTAATAAAAAATTATTTCATTTAGTTTCATAAATATATGTATATTATTTTAACTATATTTTCTCTTAATAGAAAGAGTATCTTAGTCGGGAACCAACACCACTGGAGTTGTATAGGATTCACCAATATCAAGATGTTCATCAGTGGGTTTATAAGAAGGTGAGAAAAGCTCACATCATAATAATTTTTTTAGTAATAATAAGAAATAAATAGAAATTTTATTTTATCTATTTATTCTAGTAGGATGATTTTATATGACCTCGAGATAGCCAGTAATCTACTGGTGAGGGATCATCTTAAAGATCGACCCAGTATTCTAAGAACCACATGTGGAAAGAAGTTGTTTAAGAAAGGCAGAGGAGGAGGGTTTAAGGCATAGGTTTGTATGGATATGCTTATGTGGGCAGTACTTCTACTTCAACATTTTATGATATTAGTGGAGCTGAAGAAACCGTCAACCAGAGGATCGCTGTCATGACAAGAGAGATAAAGAAGATGAGACAGATTAAAGCTAAGATGATGGTAGAGCTATGATCATATCGAGCAAAAAATTAGAAAAAAAGGAGCAAAAGCCTATACCTATATCACAAGGAAGTGAGGATATGGACAATGATTAGTTGTTGTATTTGTTTGAAGAACTACTTGAGATATTTTAAATATATGGATGTGAATGTACTTGTTTTATGTTTTAAAGATTGTTTAACAAGTTGAACTTTATGTTTACATATGGTTAAAAGTTAGTGTATTATATGTTTTAATTTTTTGAACATTTTGAGCTGTTTGTGAAATTTTGAAATTAGGTTTTGAAAAATATTATTTTTCTTTGGAAATTTGAGATTAACTTTTAGACTCAAATTTTGAGATTGAACGCCCTATTAGAAAAATTATACCACTTCAAGAAGTGGAGATAAAATTTCAAAATAGGGTTTAAAACTAAAATTACGAATCCTACTTTGAATATCATAACTAGATCATGGATGAGCCACATATGACCTTGAAAGGTCAAAATGGAGTACAGTCTAATTTTTTAATACGGTATCCTAAGTAGACTATCATTGATCTCATGCCCCAAAACCTTGTGAACAAATAATATATCTCCCCTGAGGGAGAATATACCACTGTTCAGTTGTTATTCAGGCATAACGATAGCGATTATCATTTGTTAAATCTTTCCAAAGACTAATAATTTTAAATTATGAATATTTCTTTTGGGAAACTAAATTTGAGTTTTAATTTTGAAGTTAAACTGACCATCAAAGATGATATACCGCCTAAAAAAGCGGAGATAAAATCTCCTAACGAGTTCAGACTCAGAATTATAGATTTTCTCTTAGATAGCGTAGCCTGATTTAAAGGAGAACCGCAAATGACCATGAGAAGGTCAAAATAAGATTTAATCTAAAATCAAACCAATATAATTAAGAGCAAAGGATCATTAATTTAATATTCAAATTGATTATTAACACACAATAAATCTCTTTGGAGAAAGAGAATATCATATACTAGTAATCATATCATTATGACGACGACGATCATTATGAAGTAGAATTCCCAAAAGAAATATTAGGTGAGTTCTGAAATCAATTTTGAAAAATCAATGTGTTTGTGGTTCTAAATCTCCTACGAGCGCAAGCCCTCATAGTTAAACATCGTAGGAAGATAAAGTATCCTACAAAAATTCTTGATTAAAATAGTGGTAAAATTTTATTAAAGATTTTCAATGAATGATATCAAAGAAAGTTAATTTTTGGAATTCCAAAGGTGAATGGATCGAGGTTGAGCACTTATTAATGGAATCAAGGGAAGAAAAGTAAGGGACACTTTGTGATTCTGGAACTATCCGAAAGTGCATGTCCCAACTTAATCTAACTGTTGGGCTTTATATTTTTTAATTGGAAGGAGATTTAATTAAAGTTGAGCATTTTATTAGAAATTTGAGATTATATTCCTGGATGTTCGGTTCTTATAACTGAAGATCTGCCCCGGACCCTAAATCTAAATTTAGACACTGGACCACAGTTGTCCGAACCTAACTAATGTAGTTCAAAACCTAGACTTATCCTAATCCAGATTGGGGAGCTAGCTAACCACCTAATCGATTTAAAATTTATGAGTCTGGTCTTTTATGATAGAGTGGTACAGACATTTCCTTTAAAATTTTGGAGAGCTGGGGCCAACATCTAGAGATTTTCCTAATTGGCCTCTTTGACTTATATTGGGTGAAAAATGATAAGAATAATATAGTTAAAAATTTGACT